ACCTAATGGTTAAGCTCCACCTCTTGTAAAGTAAAGGTTAGGCAATTTAGAAGTAAAGATTAAAGGTTCAAATGTTTAAGTTTATTATGTTGATGGAATTCAACTTGGTTGATTGTAATTTTGGCTCTTGGTCACCTATTGGAGTGAAAATTTAAACTTGGAAGTTAATTGATTGAGGAGTAAACCTTTGACCTCTCAAAAGTTTGAGATAACCGGGGAAAACTCTACTTTAGATAGTTATATGTTAATTAATAGTTAATTGGTTGTTGAATGTGAGATTATGAATGTTACATGCATGGAATTGATTGTTAAAGTAAAAACTATATGTTAGTTTCATTGAGTACATGAAAAAGCTATTCTTGGTTTGAAAATGCTTATACTTTTAAAAGATGAATGTGATGATGTGTAAAGGTATTGTGTGTTAGTGATAAAATGAATTTGAGAAAATGATGAGAATACACATTTGGGGAGCGCAAGGTCGTGAGCCCAACATGGTTGTGGTAAAAGTGAGTATATGAAAGTGAAAAGCAAGAATAAATGAGTATTGTTTATAGCACGATCAGTGGCGGGAGTTCACCTAGGATTTGGGAGTAGAGAAAATCCATATGATAATTAGGCTGCCCTTTGGTGCAGGGGGCTATAGGCTTGTCCCACTATTTTTTGAGGTCTCATAGTTTTTTGAGGGGTTAGAACTTAGTTATCTCTACCGGTTCAATGAGGAGAATAGACTAGGGTATAAGACACCCTAAGGATTTGAGAATGGGGAAAGCCATGGTCTGAGAGTGAGTTTTGTAATTTTTAACCGGGTCACAACTCACAATTGGTAAGCTTGGGTAATCCAATCACACGGATGGAGCCCTAATCAGTGTTATAACCTATGGTTTCAATCTGAGGAAACAAGGAGGATATAAGATTGGTTGATCGTTGCTTAAGTAAATATATGACGTGTCACACGTGCTAAGTGGTGGTAGGTCACAAGAGTATGGTTCATATCACATATCTGAGAATATGGTGATAATGTACCTAGTTACGTGAGTTAAAGAAGCTATATAGTGAAAAATGGTAAATTATGATAAATGCGAGTGTGATTTGCATTTTTGATCTCCTTGTGCATGTACTTATTTTACAATTGATATATAACTACATAAGATAGGGTTAACCTTAGTTATTGAGTAGCTAGACTCAACCCTCTTATTTAATACTTTTCAGGCTCTAGCTCTAGTGTTGAGAGGAAGAAGTCTAAAAAGGTAGGAAATTAGCATATTCTTACTGCATGCCTCTAGTTTAGCTTTAATTGTGTAATAGTATATGGCTTACCAATTTTAGGATGCATATTACCTCACTTGCACTATTTTGATTATTGAAAATGTTAGAATTGTATTTTGGGTCCTTATCCTTTATGTATGGTGACATATATATGTTTATAGGGCCAAAATACTAGTGCAAGTGTAGAAATGAAGATTTGAGCATGTTTTGAATGATTTGAGTTAAATGCAATGGCAAATTACCCCCTTTTGTTTTTGGTAAAATGGGGTTGAGGAGTGAATTTTTGTTATATTGATGTTTTGATGCTTGTGATGTGTTGTACTGGTAGTCTTAAGTCCATTAGACATGGTCCAGGTGTTAGGAAAAGCTTTTGGCACTTGTTGAGGGTTTTGGACACCCATTTTATGTAAAAGTGTTAAAAAGTGGTTAAAATGTGTTTGGGTGTCCAACTTTCTAGTATGACTTGTTTTGAAAGTGAAACCCATGCCATTAGCTAGTTCATGTAAAAATCTTTCTATAGACACCTAGATCACGTCATTCGGACGTCGGACGAAGAATCGAGGTGAGTCAAAAGTTCCCCTAATTTTGCTGTCAAATGACAGCAAAACCAGTGAAATTTTGTGCAACACGCCGTGGCGCATGGCATAGAGAGTAATGCACGAGCCATGGTGCATTGCTCTGAATTATAGCATATGTTTTGTTTTTCAATTGTTTTCAACTTCTTTCACTCCTTTGAAGTATTCCATGCTTCCAAAACTTATTTTTACTCTAATATGAAAGATTTTGATCGATTTTAACTTATTTCTATTTAGAAAACTTGGGATCCCTTACTTTTAGATTAAAACTTGGTAATCATTTTTTGAGCTAATCTTTTAATTACCATGAGTTTCTTTTATTAATTGCATTGAGTGAAGTGAGAACGTTACACCTATGGTGGCTGGAGAATTATGGAGAATTAAATTTTCTAAAGGTGGTCAAGGTGGGCATAGAACCCTTGACCTCTTGGCTTACCAAAGGTTTTGGACTACCAAGCCACTCAACCCATTCAATTATATAATGTATAAAATTATATATATATATATATATATATAAACCATGTTTTCAAACCACTTAATTATTCGTTACTTGTTAAACGCATAACATTACTTGTTAATACCTTAACGAGACTTATTAATTACTTAACTTTCCTTGTTGACCCCACAACAAAACTAAGTTACTTGTTAATTGCGTAACTAAACTTGTTAATACCTTAACAGGACTTGTCAGTTATTTAACTTTTCTTGTTAAGTCCATGACTCCTTCAACTAAATTGCATTATTTGTTAATCATATAACTTTACTTGTTAATTACGCAACAATACTTATTAATTGCACACTTTGACTTATTAATTATGCAACTTTACTTGTTAATTCCACGACTCCCTCAAAATTATTTGTATAATATATTTTATTTTCAAACCTCTTGAGTATTATGACAAGATGTATACTTGTTAAAAGCCTAATATAGCTTGTCATTTCTTCAATTTTAATTGTTAATTTTATACTTGTTTTCTAGGGTATCTCTCTTTCTCTATATGTATGTATGTATGTATGCTTATATAATTAAATATCTAGTTTGATGACTACTGATAAGGGAGACCCAACTGTCGTTGCTTTTGTTATATGACAAACTCAATTTTTTATGTAAATTATATGTTCATTTAACAAGTGACAATAGATAATTTAACAAGTATTGTTGAGGAATTAATAAGTAAAGTTATGCAATTAATAAATAATTTAGTTGCTTTTTTAAAACAACAGTTAAACAAGCCTTGTTATGGTATTAATAAGTCAAACTACGCAATTAACAAGTATTGTTACGTAATTAACAAGTAAAGTTGCATGATTAACCAGTAATGCAATTTAGTTGAAGAAATCATGAATTTGACAAATAAATTCAAGTGATTAACAAGTTTTGTTAAGATGTTAACAAATACAATTACGCGATTAACAAGTAATGTAATTTTATTGTGGGAGTCACGGACTTAATAAAAAAAGTTAAGTAATTGACAAATCTTATTAAGGTATTAATAAGTACAGTTACATGATTAACAAGTAACTTAATTTTGTTGCAGGAGTCATGAGGTTAACAAGAAAAGTTAAGTAATTAATAAGTCCTATTAAAATATTAACAAATATAGTTACGTGATTAACAAGTAACTTAGTTTTATTGCGAGAGGCATGGGATTAACATGAAAAGTTAAGTAATTAACAAGTCTTGTTAAGATATTGACAAGTAAAATTATACGATTAATAAATGACGTAATAATCAAGTGGTTTGGAAACAAGGTTTATTATATATATAATTTTATGCATTATATAATTAAATGAGTTGAGTGACTTGGTGGTTCAAAACTTTTTGATAAACCAAGGGGTCAAAGATTTTACACCTGCCACCGTCAGCGATCAAAGTTCTAGTGACAAAAGTCTAATGGCTGTCGTTGCTGGCGAGGCTCCAGTCATTAACGATGGTGCAATGGTGGCTGGTGTTTTTTTTTAATATTTACACTGTGAGTATTTTCATCTTTTTTACATTTAAATTGTTTTCAATTTAATCCTTGAAAATTGAATTAAATTTTAAAATTTTTTGAGACCTATTAAAAAATATGTTTTTTTATGTCTTTAAATGAAATTCTCCCCTTGTATTTCTTGGATTAATAATAAAACATAATTAGACAATGACGCTTTTTGGTGGAGCCCACGTAGAATAAAGTGTTCACTGGCGAGAAGAGAAGGGACGGGGAGAGACTACATTTGCATATGCCTCTAGGTGAAAGTTTGAATTACGAGTTTTTTTTAAAAAAAATTATGTATTCTGGATATCAATATTGTTCTCAAAGATATTTTATTTCCATGTCTCAGAAAAGAATTGTTTAATTTTAATTTTTTACGCTGTTTTTAAAAATTCACTTCTAAACCAACCATTGTTTATCTCCCCTCTCCTGTATCTTTTTTATAACTCCCTTTAACTGTATCATCTGACTGAAGGGTTAAACATTTATGTCATGAGCAATTTAAAAAAATACTTAAAGATTCATTAATTCATATAATTTACAGTCAAATATTTAAAAATTAAAATTAAAAAAATCAATATATATATATATATATGTATGTATATATATAAATACATAGTTAAGTTGGTATTAGTGGCTGAGGCTAGCATTTTTTGAATTATATAATTATAATTCAGTTTTTAACTCTTGTATATAAATTAAATAAAATCAGAAGAGGCCTACCATAACTGAAAAGGTGATCTGTTTTTCTTAGAGAGAATTACATATACAAGATTATGGATTTTATATTCTTCTAAAGTTCTAAAAGCATCAAATGCAATTATTTTTTAAAGTGAAAATGCCAAATTATCATTAATAAGCAAAAATATGTATGTGCTGCATGCTAACCAACGAAAATTAATGACAGAAAGTTCGTGAAAAAAAGTCCAGTTATTACTTATGCTTGAGAAAATTTATAGTTAAACAAAAAAACTGACAAAAAAATTTGTAAATAACAAGAAAATTCTAATTATTTACAATAAAAATTTATTTATTTATAAGAGTCGACGTGGATTTATATTTATACTTGTTTTTTTAATAAAATTTTAATGGATGTTGCAATATCTTGAAAAAAGAAAATTAGAATAGTAAATATTTAACGATTTTTTTAAAAATTATTCGGCGCGTGCGCTGAAGAAAAGGGTGAAAGAGAGAAGAAAGAAAAGCAGAAAACCTAGAATCAGCGGGCATGAACTGCAAATTTGCAATGCTTCCAAGTCGCATGAGATGAGGTAGGAAGAGGAATAACCCATTTTGCTTGCAGAGGAAGCACCTGAACATTCGCTCAGACGCAAACCCTTTCTCTTCCTTCCTGCTTAACAACCTCACGGAATACGAATACTCCTCAGTTGAAGAACGAACATGGCTCATGGTGGCTACAACAAGCGCCGTGTCAAGCCTGCCAATCGTCGATCCAAGGGCTTGGGCATGGCGAAGAAACCCAAGTCCGTTTCTCTCAAAAACCAGATTCGATCCATCGAGCGCATGCTCAGGAAGGTACCTATAGTTCATCCGATTTTCGGGTGTTTTGTTGAATCAAGAGTTTTATGGGTCGAGCCACTTTTTTTTTTTTTGCTGAAAAAATTATCTGTTCATTCGGCAGCGTGATGGTTTATGGGGCTGGAAAACTTCGTTTAATATTTTTCCCAGGGAAAGTTTATGAGTTCAGGGGAGGATCGGTTCAAACGGATGATTCAGTTCACTTTGAAATTTGGCATAGAAAAGCTGTAATTTGGAATTGGGTCCTATTTCATGGGCTTGTCTTACATATTTTAATTTTAAATGTAAATTAAATGGATAGTCTAGTCTCATGATCATATAAGCTCATCTTTTATCTTTGAATGGGAAGCGCGCGCGCGCGCGAGTGTGTATATTAAAATGTAGGATGAACTTTTACATTTTAGTTGCATCTTAATTATTTCCTGAAAACTAGCTATAATTCCCTAATTTTTTGTTGTCTGCTTCTTTCACGCTGCTAAACTACATTGTTTGTGGTTCTGAAGAATTTGCCGCCTGAGGTGAGACAGGCGCAAGAAGAGAAGTTAGAAGGGCTTAAAAAGCAGCAGGAGATTCATACACGTCTTGCTGCTGAACGCAAAATGTTCTTGCGTGATAGAAAGATAAAATTCTTTGGTGAATTTTCTTCCTTGGCTTATCGCGTGATGATTTTTTATTTAGCTCAATCTGCCTTGGGTTAGGGTACAATCTTCTTCCTGCTTCAATGAAGTAGTTTTTTTATTTTTCATTATTTAGAGAGGAGGAAAATAGAAAGAAGACTCAGACGTCTAGAGAAGCTTCAGCGTACTTCATCTGCCCAGGACCAAAGTGCAGGGATAGCTGAACAGCTTTCCAAGCTCAAAGAAGATCTTAAATATGTTATGGTATGTGTGCAGTGAAGTTTTAATATGTATCTTTTCCTCGTTGCTGATTATGACATATTAAAGGTGGACGGCACTGCGCGTTTCACTTCTTTGCATACTACTAGTACGGGAGCGCACGCTAATTCAAGAGCAAGAAAAGTTGTGCAAATAATTAAATTGATATCTAATTTTATTTGATAACAAATGGTATAGTGAAGTAGGCAATTGGATGCTCTACTCATCTCAAAGATGAGTAGAGAGTACTCATGTTCAATTTGGACCTTTCAAAATAAAATTAGACTTTTCAGATTCTATTCTATTTTTAAAATTTTAAAATTCTTTCTTTTCATAAAATAGAATGTAAATAAATATAGGCTTCTCACTATCAATCAATTTACCAAAAAAGATGTTTTAAATTTTAAAACTAAAATCAAAATATACATTTGATTGTTCAAACTAAATTTAGACAGTTTAGGCACATGGTGCTATCCTTGATATGATTAGGGAATTCGGGTCCAATGAGTAGGGCTATAAAGCATAAACAAGTCACTCTACATCACGTTTTTGTATGACCAATCTTGTTCATTTAAGAAGAAATTGATCCCTAAGTTTAGTCAAGGTAGGGATACACATATGCAATGTAATATTTATATGCGTACACACGCACACATATTTATGAAACAAATACAAGCCACTCTACACCACGTTTTTGTTTGGTCAGAGCTGATTCACGTTTGATGCTTACTGGAGATTAATGTCTGACTTTGTTATGTTTCTTATATTATATTTGACCATAATAACTAACAAATTCTTGTCACTCAAACTGCAGTACTTTCCCAAGACTGAAAAATATGTTCCTTTATTTAGTGGTGGTGATGGTTCAGAAATAGTTGATAATAGAAATAGGTTCCGGAAACAGATTGAAGCCAGATTGATTGCAGCAGCAGAAAGTGGGAAGGACTTAGAAGGTTTTATTATTATTTTGTTCAATGAAATCAAAGACAAACCTTTTCTTTTGTTGCTTTGTGGATTGATTAATATTCTCTTCATTTAAATAGTTGATAGGGAGAGCTATTTGGAAATATAATATAGAGATTTGAAAATGTTACAGAAATTAAGATTGTCTTGCTTCGATCTTGTGGTTTAGGATGTATATATCCTCTCTGAAATTGATTAGATCCAGATTTATCAAAAATTAGAGGGCCTACCATCTTTTTATGCTTGTTCCAGAATAAGTGTTTCACTGAATTAATGACTATGCCTTATGTTTAATAAGATGGGACTTCACTAGAGAATTGATTGATGACATTTCTTTTTGCTTCATTAGCAGAGACGGGAAGTGAGGATGATGGCATCTTGGATCTGAGTGAAGATGATTTTTTTCTTGGTGGAAGTTCTAGTGATGAAGCAGAAGCTGATGATGAATGGACGGATAAAAGCACTAGGTGAGATATGCTAACTTGGATGAGAATATTAATTGAATTAACTTCTGATTATGATATGTGATGCTACTGAAATAAGAGTACTGTTCTTTTTTATAGAACTTCTAACACCTGTCTGTTGGTATAGAGGGAAATATCCAGTAGCAATTTTGTTGTACAACATATTATGTTTTAGATGCTTTGAACTGATAACGTGCTCTATAGTGATAAAATCTGCAACTTAATATGTTGTTTTATTGCAGAGAGCATGCTTCTAGTGCTTCTGGAAAAGCAGTGTCTGGCATGTCTAGTGATGAAAAGAACCAGGTATGCATTAAGAGAGGTGCACTGCTTCACGAAGTTATCATTGACAGGTAGTCACCAACTACTCTAGATATGGTTTTATTGATTGTGTTTTCCCATTTTTTATAGAGACAGATTTCTGCAAGAGCTTTGATGCCCCCTCCTCGCACTTCAAACAAGTTGTCAGGTTCACTTTCTGCTCAAACAAGGTTTGGGTCATCATCTGGCCAAAATTCATTGATACAGAGGCATGAGATTTCCACTTCAAGTAACACCTCAACTAGCAGAAGTAGCTCAGACTTTAAAGCAAGGGGATCCTCAAAATCAGGGACAGGTCATGGTAGTAATCTAAGCTCCAACTCTGATGCTCATAAACCTCGGAGGAAAAGAAGACATAGGAAGAAGAAGAAGCAGGTTATCACTTGCGATATTTCTTGGTTTATTTATTAGCTTCTTTTTCCCATTTCATATTTTACGTTGCCTTGGAAGTTTGGTAGAGATTATCCCCTTTAAGATCAAATAGTGGCTGAGTAAACATTCTAGGACCTCTAATTCAGTTTAGGGGAATTTTTTTTTTTTTTCCCGACCATGCTATTTCATGCCTTGGCTTTTTCTTGCACTCGTCTGCTGCCTGCCAACTTTTCGTTATGCATCTTATGCTATATTCTTCTCACACAACTTGAGTTTCTTCTCCCATAGCTTGGATATGTTACTGTATTATGTAATTTTCCTAAATAGAAAAGGAAATTTGTTGATGAAGGAAGAAATGACAAGCAGAAGAGGGTGAGACATCCTTTCAAAGAGACTGCTCTAAGGATACAGAAACAACAACACAAATAGAAAAGCAGTCCAATCTCTCTGTGACTGGATGATCATGAGCAGAAATTCGAATGGAAGTCATGAAATATGAGACTCTATCTCAAGAGACAAAGATTGACTCCCAAAAATACGAGAATCTGAGAATTCAAGAAATGTCCATGTTTGGTCCTTTTTCATCTGAGGCTTGCAATATGGATCTTTATAATTCTGAACTGCAGTGGTATTAATATGGATAGAATGCCGGGCCAAAGCTCTAAAATAAATTATTTATGGGTTTCCTAATTTATTTTTCATCTGGGAAAGAGACCTAAATTTGTAGTAGTATCTAAATAATTTTAAAGCATCAGTTTTAGGGCGAAGCTTTGGTATCCTTGACATGGATAAAACGTTGGGTCAAGAATCAAGAGTAAATATTTTTCTTGTGGCTTGGATAGAGGGACTGGGAAGCTCTTTGGATGATCATTTATATTTTCTTCTCTTTGTCGGTCATCTATTTTCCATTTTTTGTTAGAGATTATAATAGAAGTATTCATGGGCTTTCACTTCATAGCGTAAGCTTGACTTTAGAAATTATAATGAAATTGTTCATGATTGTCGTTTACAGCTTAAGCTTGAGTTGTTCTTGGCATTTTAGATTAAAAAAAAATTGTTGAAGTGTACCTGAGAAGCTCAAAAATTATTCTCTTTCAAGAAACATTAATCACTAACACCAGGAAAAAGGATAAAGGGCAGAGCCTGAGATTCATCATTCATCACTGATCTGTGATATTAAATCAGGCACCTTATTGTCTGTGATGGGCTCATTGGCTCTGGTAGCTGTGGATTAGGGGCCTATGGACATGTCAGATATAAGCCCCCATCCCTGTAGGCATGCTTATTGCTCTTGCTGCCAAATGCTATTTTGTGCTATGAAAGAATAGGAGGAGTCACTTCTTTGCAATTTACTTTGCCACATGACATATTAATGCATGCTATACTTCCTAATTGGGCTGGCTTCCTTTTTTTTTTTTTTTGGTTCCCAACTTCCCATGGATATTCACTGTTGAGCTGGATTTACCTTTTATTCTTATTACTCTTCTTTGTGAGCTGTACTTGGAGGGTGCCTTATTCTCTCCTTTTCTCCTCTTCACTTCCAACAAAAAATTATTTTATCAAAAATTAGTATTTGTATGTGGAGTTCTATATGCATGTTAAACCATGGTATGAATGTTTCTCCTAAGATACTATTGTAGTTTAGAGACTGACGTCTGGTATACGTATTTTTACCCTTTTTGTTTGACAGTTAATACTTTGTGGTGAAAAAGGTTTGAGTATTCGTTTTCATAGAATGCTAGGATGAATAATTGTTGTTGTGTATTTGTTGAAAGGGGAAGAATGAGATGATTTATCATCTCTCATTATTTAGGTGAATTAGGGAAGGACGGAAAAATCTTGTGGGAAGTTCTTTAATGACAAGGTTCTCGGACATCGACAGGATTTCACAGCTTTCACAACAAATGATAATATAAACCTCTGCAATGTACTGAGATGTGGTTTTGGTTGTCTTGATGATGTTGCAATTGAAGTGTTTTAATTTCCAGCATCTACAAAGGGTTCAGCATCAGTACACTTGAGCACCTGATTAACCAAACTGTGCACATCACTCAATGATTAAGAAGTTGCAGAGTGGATCATAAAAATTTGTGGGTTTATGATTGCTTTGCTTCCCAAGTTCGTCCGTGCATGATGCATCACACAAGGCTATCTTTAGTTTTTCTTCATCAATTGCTAAAACTCAGCCCAATTTAGATACTCGTTAATCTGTCATGTATCAAGCCCTCCACGAATGAATGACTAATGACCTATTTGGTTGTTAGAAATGATGAAAATGGAATAGAATAATGAAATAAAGATAAAAAAAAATAATCAAAATGTGGAGGGGAGATAGGTCAACAATGTTCATGAAAGGAGAGGTTAATTTAGTTCATGAGATTAGGAATCATAATTCATGAAATTTGTAAAGGGTGTAGTAATTTTACATTTGTAGTATGTGGTATTGGGTTTTATTATGTTTATCATAATGGAGAGGGTAATTTAATTCATTTTTACCATTTTATTTTCATCCTTTCTTGCAACGGAATAAGCCCTTACTGCCTTTTGATGAATTCTGGGTTAATTGATTATGTTCCCGTCAATTGGATTTGATATTTTACTTTTTGAATCTCTCTCTGAAATTGTGAGGCTTCATATATCTTGTTGCAGGCATGATGGTTTAACCCAGCATTCCATGGACCATTTTAGCTTCTGCCTACGCATTCTTGAGATTCTTAAGACATGTATGTCCTCTAGCGTGGGTTATATTTTGCAATGTAAGAGCTGAGATTCTGTTTTACTTACTGGTCGTTATGATGATCATATATGTAGTGCTGTTAGGGTTAGATTGAGAATTATTCACTGTAGATTCTCTTGTGGCTGCTTTCATGGTAGTTTTTCCCTGTCCTCTGTAAATCAAACTCAATGCCGATTAGTTTGCCCCTGGAAGGCACACTACATCTACACTTAAATTGTTTTGAACTACCAGAAGAACCATATAGCTGGTTGCATAATACAACTGCTGTTAAAATTTCTACTTACCACTGTTATTTTTGTCTCATGTCTAATACTATCTCTGCTCTTATTACAGTGAAGTTACCCCAATTACTGGTGTCAACATGAGCATTGTCACATCATGATTGTTAATAATAAGAATCAATTAAATTTATACTTCTTATAGTCTTTAATTTAATATAAGCCAAAGTTAGAATAATTTTTTTTTAATTTTTACTTCTTTATTTATTTATTTATTTATTATAGTTTGTATTTCTAAATAGTAATTTATTTTGGTTATTATTGTAAAGAAGGGCAAAGTTGGAAAGTTTCAATTTTTTTAAAGAATTTCAAGGATATAACTACCATTTCTTAATAAATTTGCTTTATTTTAATGATTGGAGGGAGTACAAACTAATTAAGAATCGGTGGAAGTAATTAAAAATTCGTAAAAAAATTGGATGCTATTTTGGATAACATCTTCTGTGAAAAATTAATATGTTAATTTAACTATTGTTTAATTAAATACCCCTGAATTAGTACTTTAAGAAATTTAATGGTAAATCATTTTAAAAATATTAATCTTAATCTCGTCTTGCATCCTGATTGAGCAATATTCCATATTATATCGTGGCCACAAGCAATTTCATGACAATGAGTTATCACGTTACAGCACTTCTTGATCCATTCGTTCATGCCAAAAAACATGGAAAGAAAGAAAACATTAAAAATGAGTATATAAAATGATTTTAACTCTTGACATTGTATTTTAACTCTTGATATTGGCATTGTTTGGCCTAACTAAAAGTAATTTTTTTTATTTTTTTAAGATAAAATATAATTTTGGATCCATACACTTTGCTCAAATTTTATTATAAATTTCTGCACTTTTTTTTAATGTTTTAAAGCCCTACACTTTTATTTTTGTGTTCTAAGTCCTTCCATGAATAGTTTATAGAGAGTTAGAACATGAAAAAATTAAAATATAGGAATTTAGAATATTAAAAAAATGTGCAGAAATCTATAAAAAACTCTAGCCAAGTGCGGGATCTAAAATAATGTTTTTTTTTAAATAGTCATCTTGTTGTAATACTTAACTTCATATTATCAGCAGAATTTTATTCTTTTTTTTTTTCTAATCGTTATCCATTCTACTTAATAAATAATTTTTTTTAGTAGAAGCGGCAGCATGCAGGATTAAATCTGTGATTGTGAAAATGAATGGAGATTTTACTAAATCACAAGGCCATTATGTCAATTAAAGAAAAAACAAATAGGGAGAATTTCAATACTTACTAGGAGATTGACTAGATTTCAAAAAAATTTGAAAGTTCAGTTCAGTCTAGAAAGACTGAAGTTGTAATATTCTTACTCCACTAAATACATTTAAATAAATCAAGCTCATGGTAATGGAGGGATTATCTCCGAAGGGTGATTACTAAGTTTTTAATTCAAAAGTAAGGAATTCCAAATTTTTCTAAATAGAAACAAGTTAACAACGATAAAAATCTTTCACATCAGAGTAAAGATAGGTTCCGGAAGCATGGGATACCTTAGAGGAGTGAAAGAAGTCGAAAATGGTGAAGAATAAATTATGTGTTGAAAAACAGAGCAGTGCACCACGGCGGGCACACTTTCTGCCGCGGCGTATTGCTCTCTATGTCACGCGCCGCGGCATGTTGCACGAATTTTCACTGGTTCTACTGTCAAAATGATAGCAGAATTAAGGAACTTTCGACTCGCCTCGATTCTCCATCCGACATTTGAATGACGTGATCTAGGTGTTTATGGGAAGCTCTTTTCCTGTACTAACTAATGACATGAGTTTCACTTCCAAAACACATCACATTAGGAAGTTGGACACCCAAACCCAATTTAATCAATTTTCAACACTTTTATATAAAATGAGTGTCTAAAACCCTCAACAAATGCCAAAAGTTTTTTCTAACACCTAGATCATGTCCAATGGACCTAGGACTACCAATACAACATGTCACAAGTATCGAAATATCATTATAATAAAAATCCACTCCTCAACCCTAATTTACTAAAAACAAAAGGGAGGTAAAATAGCATTGTATTAAACTCAAATCATCCAAAACATGCTCAAACTTTACTTCTACACTTGTACTAGTATTTTGGCCCTATAAACATGTATATGACAAAAATACATAAAGACTAAGGGCAACATTTTCAACCAAAATGGTGCAAGTATGGGTAGTATGCATTCTAGAATTGAAAATTTATATGCTATTACACAAATACATCAAAACTAGAGGCATACAAGAAGGAATGTACTAATTCCTTGCCTCTTTAGTCTTCTCCTTCTCAATACCAGAGCTAGAGCCTGAAAAGTATTAAGTAAGAGGGGTGAGTCTAGTCACTCAGTAACTAAGGTTAAATCTATCCTATGCAGTTATATATCAATTATAAAGCAAAAACATGCACAAGGAGAATCAAATTTATAAAATCATATACCCATATATCACATTTTATCACTTATCACACTATAGCTTCATTACTCACATAGCCAAGTGCATTGTTTTCATATTCTCAGATTTGAGACAAGACCCATACTCTTGTAACTTGCCACCACTTAACACGTGTGACACATCATGTATTTACTTAGGCAATGATCAACCAATCTTATATCTTTCTTATTTCCTCAAACTGAAATCGTGGGTTATAACACTGATAGGGCTTCGTCCGTGTGACTGGACTACCTAAGCTTACTAATCGTGATGTGTGACCCGATTAAAGATCACAGAACTTACTCTCGAACTATGGCTTCTCCCATTCTCGAATCCCTAGGGTGTCTAATACCTTAGGCTATTTTTCTCATTGAGTCGATGGAGATAGCAAGGTTCTAGTCCCTCGATAAACTATTGGACAGTCCTTCAACAAACAGTGAGACAAGGCAATAGCCCCCGTGCACTGGAGGGAAGCTTAATTACCATATGAATTTTCTCTACTCCCAAATCCTTAGGCGAACTCCCGCCATTGATCATGCCACAAACAATACTAACTTGAGTTTACTTTTTCGCTTTCATTTACACACTATACCACAACCATATTGGGCTTACGACCTTGCGCTACCCAAGTGTGTATCATCATCCTTTTCTCAAATTCATTTCATGACTAACACATAAATATCTCTACTCATCTTTGCATTCATTTTCAAAGCATAAGCATTTTTATAATAAAATCCTTTTAACTTTGCATTTTGCATTTCGAGCCAAAATAGCATTGTGCTCAATCAAATGTCCATACACTTAATAAAAACTAACGTATAATGTTACATAAAAATCAATCTCATGCATGTAATATTTACCATTAGCATTCAAACAAATCAATTAACATACAACTACTCAAAGTAGAGTTTTTCCCCAATTACCTCCAACTTTTGAGAGGTCAAAGGTTTACCCCTCAATTAACTAGCTTCCAAGCTTGAATTTTCACTCCGATAGGTGACTAAGAGCCAAAGTTACAATCAACCAATTTGAATTCCATCAACATAACAAACACAACCATTTGAAACTCTCAATCTCTACTTCTAAATTACCCAACCTTCACTTTACAAGAGGTGGAGTCTAACCATTGGATTTAATAATTATCTTTAGCTCCCAATAGCATTAATGAGCTATTAAATTCCCATTAATGACATCAAAAACTTTCAATCACCCATAATAAATGAGATTTTTGGGTATTTATGGTGCTCAATAACTCATAACACTAAAATTCATTATACTTAGGTTTAAATACTCTAATCTACTCCCATTATCTGCATTTGAGTCAACAAATTTGAACCCATAACCTATATGGACCGAAATCTCACTTCCACTATCAAACCCTAACTATAAACTCATAAATGTGAAAGAAAAGGGAAGATTAATGTGTATGATACTTACCTTGAGTGTTTGTAGCCTTCAAAATACTCATAAAATGATCCCCAAGCAAACCCTAGCAGAGTTATGGCATGCCTCTTCCTTTTCTCTTTTCTTTTCTTTCTTTTTCTATCTCAATTTGCGTTTGATAAAGTACAGAAAATGGCCATGCACCGCAGTGGACACACAACGCACCGCAACGTATGGTACAGAGAGGTCCTCTCTAGCATAGAGATGGTTGTGCGCCGCGATGGATGATCTACGTGCCGTGGCGTGTGGCACAACAACTTCAACTATTCTTTTTCTTCTCCTTTCGAGTGGCCCGCCTCGATACCGAACCCATAATAAGGGCTGAAATACCATCAAATATAATTGTTAGACCTTTCTGGCCACACATCACTTTAATTTACTTAATTACCCTAATTAAATTTAATTAATCAGGGAATTAAAAATCGGGATATTACAGAAGTGAAAATAATTTTAACAAAAAAAAGATTAAAATATCCTTCACTTATTAATTTTGTTCGAGATGAATAATCATTAGTTATTAATTTTCTTACTTAACTTGTTAATTTATCAATAAGAGTTATAAATTATATCAGTCTATCAGACAAGTAGTAATATTAGTTATTAATTTTCTAATTTTATCTATTAATTTACTAACATCATTTGTAAATTACAAGACTTGTTAGCAATTTACAAATGATGTTAGTAAATTAGTAGGTAAAGTTAATAATTTAACAATTGATATCAAGTCTCATATAATTACTGACAAGTCAATTGTTGTAATTTATAAGTCATATTGATAAATTAACAAATAAAATAAGAAATTTAACAACTAATAATTCTGTATCTCGAACAAAATTAATAAGTGAATGATATTTTAATTTTTTTACTATTAAAATTATTCTCATTTCAATCCTTCTAAATTAAATTGAACTAAAATTTCATATTTGTGTTGGACACACTAGTAATTAAGTCACTGTCCTAATCTTTAGTTGAAATTTTTTTTTTTAAAAAAAATCTTTTATAGGCAATGATGTGAAGCATTATGATGGCTCTAAAGAGACAAATTTTTTTGACGTTTTTGAACCATTAAAATTAGGACAGTTATTCAAGAACCTTATGATTCTTAAACTTTTTTAAAATATCTTGGTGATTCATGAATCTTGTAATCTTTCATGAAAAACTTCAATAATTGTTTCAAATAATTCATAAACATTACAATTCATATGAAAATACGTCTCTTTTAATAATTCATGAGCCTTGTAATCCATAAACCTTTATGAAGATATCTCTCTAGATGACTCATGAATTTTGTAATCTGTAATCTTCCATGAATCATTTCTTCCCAAAAACTCGTTAACATAACTCTTCTCAGATCATACCTTTCACAACAATCAAACTCATGAAGCAGTGAACAAAGAAAATGTTAGAGTGAGTGACTTAGGAAGGTGGAGTTTAATTTAAACTGGGTTTGTTTAGATTTAGTTAAAAATACTCCTAACATATAAAAAAGTTCATACACAAGCCTAGCCATAACCTCTTGGGCTTTCGAGTTTATTTGAGTTAGCTCAAATATTCGAATTGTTAAATATTTTTTATTTTATTTTTTGTTAAAATAATATAAAAATAAGATAAAAAAATTAATATTTTTAATTTTTATCTTATTTTATATTATTTTACTAATAATAAAAAAATTTGGATCTTCAAACTAAACTCATTTGAGTTCAGCTTAGCCTAATTTTTTTTTTGTTTGTTTATTCAAGCAATCGGAATAAGCTTCGAGTGAAAAAAAAATCTTGTAAACTCCCGAATTCAACCTTAAAATTTTTTAAATTTATTTAGATTGGCTCATCGAACTTAATCTAAATAAGCACCTCTAGAAAATGTATTCCATTGGCTTAATTGAAGGCACAAGAAATCTATAAATATCGTTTGCCAATAATATCATCATGGGACTAACAGTTCCTTAGGGAGATTGGAGAAGAATTATTTAGAAGATGAGTTCCTAAACAGATTATCAAATTCCAATTATGGCCTTCACTGAATAAAATTTGTAACTTGGTAAAAAAAAAAAAAAACTCGGGATCTCATCTTGTTAAGTTAGATGAATTGCATTAGAGAATAACTATATTCAAACTCGGGCCGTGAACAGGACTTGAATTCTTAATTTGATTAGAAGGGTTGGAGTAAAGGAAATTAATCATTTTTGCTATATGTCCTACACATATCTTTTTATTGCAGGTCCCATATTATATTTTTATTTTCTTTTACTATATCAAAATTAAAACATTTCATATAAACATTTAAGGGAAAATTAATCACTTTGTCCTTGTAATGTCAACTCAATCGTCAATCCTTCAATTTTAATTTGGTGCAACTTAATTCTTATAATTTTGATAGGATGCAAATTCGTCCCTATATTTTAACTCATTACAACTTAATTATTGTAGTTTTACTAATTTAAAACATTAATCCCTAAATTTAAAAATAACTATAGTATTTATAATTTAAAAATAAATAATATTTTAAATGATTAAAATTATAAGAACTGTATTATATCAAGTTAAAATTTAGGTATTAAGTTATAATTGAGTTAAAATTATATGAATCAACTATAAATATCCAACCATAATTATCTAATATTATAGATTATAGATATAGATGGTTGCGTTTGCATTTTGAGCAATAAGATTCTTACGGAGCCTAGCAACTCATTGTTTGCTCCAATGAAAGAAGCATTTGATCTTCCACAAGAAACAAAAAAATTTTATCACAAAATTTAGCAGTAAAAGCTAAAGCAACTATAATATTGCCTCCTCCCAATCATCATCCTATGCACCACATTATTAATTAAATAAACCATACAAAAATTTTGTAACTAAAGATTTCATTTAAATAAAATGGATTAATGAGTATTATGACCTTAAAGTATTATACAAAAACATTGTTGACCTTAAACTTTTAAACTATGCAAAATGGACCTTAGACTTCTAAATTCAAATCAAATTACACTCCCACCGTTAACTTATAGATAACACCATTAACTATTGACTTTGTGGGGCCCATTCAAATATTGATGTCATAATTCCTTGTTGATATGTCATCTGTTAATGAACACCACATATCCTAAACTATTGCATAAGTAGCATTTTGAACCCTGAATTTTAAAATTAAAAGTAAATTATCCTATCATTTATGTATAGAACATTAACTGTTATGTAAACCAAATTAGCCTCAAGTTGGTCCATAGTGGTGAACATATCGTTAGCCGCGGTGAATAACCCATAATTTTATTAAATGACCTTTTTGTCCTTTTTTGCTATGTTTTTTAAATGATTGATATTTCATGCTTTCACATACTCTATGACTCTAATTTAGTTTTATTTTGAATAATGTTTATTTATTTAATAGTAAAAACTTGGAATCCAATTTGAAAAGAGTTTTAAGTATAAGAGAATTTTACAGACGATAGATATAGAAGCCGATAATTTTATTAACAGATTTTAATCCCAAATTAACTAGTTAATTAAAATTATCTAATACTTAAACTTTTTTCAAATGGGATGCCAATTTTTCACCATTAAATAAATAAAATTATTCAAAATAAGACTAAATCAGAATCTTAAAGTATACAAAAGTATGAGATACTAATCATTTAGAAAAAATTAAAAAAAAAATAGGGCAAGAAATGTCATTTCACTAAATTTTGGGTTGTTCATCATAGCCAACGATGCACTCGTTGTGACGGACCACGTTGAGACTAATTTAGTATACATAACAGTCAACATTTTACACATAAACGATGAAGGTAATTTGTTTTGAATATCAAAGTTTAGGGTTCAAAATGTTATTTGCACAATAGTTTAGGACCTATGGTGCTCATTAACTGATGACATATCAGCATTTGACTGGGTTCTGCAAATCTATAAGTTAACAGTGGGGTTAATTTGCTCTAAATTTAAAAGTTTATGATCCATTTTGCACATTTTAGGAGTTTAAAGTCCAAGATACTTTTCACGCAATATTTTAGAGCCTAAAATGTTCTTTAACCCAAATAAAATCAACTTTAATAATATAAATTTAGGCAAAAGTAAACCATTAATCCTTTAATTTTATATAAAATTTTAATTTTATTGTCTTTTTAGTCCTCTAACTTTAATGTCATTAGTCTCAAATATTAATTTTTTGTATCTATCATTGTTATTTGAAAAATTAAATATAATATATTAACATTGAAATTATTTTATCAACATATAAAAGTTCAATAACAATATTTTTTTTGGTCAAAATATACTTTTAGTATATTAATTTTATATAAATTTTCAATTTTGATCTATGACAAAAAATGATTTTAATTTGATCTTTTAATTTTATACAATATTTTTTTAATCCTCTAATCCTAATATCGTTAGTTTCAAATCATTATTTTTTTTGATAATCATTGTTATTGTAAAAAATAAATTTAATATGTCAACATTTAATAATATTTTTTCAAAACTTAAAAATTTAATGTAAAAATTTTTAATGATAAAACTAACAGTATTAAGATTAAGGATTTAAAAAATACTTTATAAAATTAAAAAATTAAACTAAAATCTAGTATAAAGTTTAAGGACTACATGTATAATATATTTTTTGGTTGATAAAATTAACAATGTTGGGTCAAATGACTAAAAAGACACGTTACAAATTAATATATTGAAATAAAATTTTATACAAAATTAAAATATTAAATATTCTGTCATTGAAAAATATAAGGTATTTGTAACTGAATCTCGTCTCCCAATAAATTAATTACTTATTTTCAAATTAATACCATCTTCTCATATTTAATTTTATTTAATATAGTATTTTATTTTTAAATAAATATAAAATGATTTATTTGTAAGAGATATTTAAAAAATAAAAAATATATATTAAAATATTAAAAATATTTTATTATTTTAAACATTTAACTTCTTAAAATAGAGTCATTTTTAGCTTAAATTTATAAAATAGTGTCATGTGGAAAAGGTCCAAAAAAAAAAGAGGTTGCGTCGTCTGGTGAAGCTAGCTGCGGGGAGAACATAGCTCATTGCTGAGGCAAGCAAATCTGAAGATGTTGCTATCTTGAATTGCGACTCCGCTGAGTCGGAGAGAGTGAAAAACGGAGTCGCTGTATCCCATGAAAGCTCAACTGTTGATTCAGATCTTCTCATACTTCGTATTAGCCTCTGTTTGTTTCATACAAACAACACTCGCCGATGGCGTGACCCCTGAGGAAGCGAAAGAACTTCGAGATGAGGTGGCTCCTCTTGTGATTTGTTTATTTTTTGTTCCAGTTCAGTATATCTGTCGGAAAAAGTCCTTTTTTTTTTTTTGTTGCCGATTGATAATTGGGATCTTGCTTAATGTCTCTGCTGATCTTTCAGTTGCTACACATCGGTTTGATGTTCTTATTGGTTGAAATTGCATTGCCTAATAGTTTTACGACCCTTGGCTATTTGAATGCAACAAAACTCATTGGGAATTCCCTTTTGGATATATCTGTCAATTTCCATTTGACATTAGATTAGCTTGCAAAACTGACAGGACTTTTTATTGGGTGATTTATATTGGGGGAGAAGGACATTGATTCAATGCTTATGTAGGTTCTTGCGAAGCAGGTTACATTTAAAAGTTCTTTGCCGTTACAACTATAGGGCATGATTTGATTGTGCATGCTGAACATGATGTTCCGGTGTCTTGTACTGTTGCGAATTTGGACCAAAATAATCATTAGTGTCTTTTGGGTGAATTTCTCTATTTCAACTTGTGTCACGTAGTGGGTAGTTGTATTCTATTTTCTGCTGAAGCTATGGCTTTTCTTTAGCTGGTGAATTTTCTTTATTGTTAAAATGCAGGTCCGTGAGATGTTTTATCATGCTTTTAATGGATATATGGAGCATGCTTTTCCACGGGATGAACTGAGGCCTCTTTCATGTGGGGGAGAAGATTCACTTGGTGGTTATGCCTTAACTTTGGTAAGGAAAAGAATTCATATATTGAGTTATAATAAGAAATTAAGAATATATCTGCAATACTGATGTCTGTAATGTGTCCAAAACAGATTGACTCGTTAGACACTTTGGCTTTACTTGGTGACCAGGAACGCTTCACAAGTTCAATTGAATGGATTGGTAAAAATCTTCGGTTTGATATAGTGAGTGAAGGGCATTATTTTAACATATGCACATGGAGCTTTTTATTTATTTATTTTTTAAATTGCTATTTCCTTATTTAAGGGCAAAGGTCTACTATGTGACCAATAGGATGCATTGTAGACTTATCAATAATCACCTATAGACTAATCTTTGAATATGTTAAGTGCATATGCTCTTTTCTATTCTTGGTTCACTGACTTATTCATTCAGATCAAAATTACCATGAGCTGGCTTTTGACGCCCACACTCAAGAGTGCTCGATTTGGTATCATGTTCTTTATTTACCCAGAAAATTGGATAAAAATTTCTTTCTAGAATCAGTTCTTTTAAGTGGGTGAAGGGAGATACTTGTTATGCATTAGGAATTGTTGGAAGCAAGCTGTGGTTCTACTTCCTAGAGGGAGTTGCCTCTCATGTAAAAATATGGTGCGTGGCAGATAGCGAATAAACAATTCTACGTAACAGTAAGAAATGCATCAAAGGCAGCTGTACCTGGCGCGATCTCTATTTTATTTATTGTAGTTTAGTAATTGATCCCTGCTGGTGCAATTTCCTACAAGTCCTTGCTTCCGCACCCAAATTGGTTTTGATGTCTGAACCACAAGGTTTAGATGATTCACTGTCTCGCATAAGTACTAATTTTATTCTTCAGGTCTATAATCAAATGAAATGCTTCTTAATACTATAATCTTTTTTTTTTTTTAAGTATTGATAACATAATTCATTGTTGAAAATCAACTTCCATCAAGTTGAAGACTTAAGTTTCCAATCATATGGTAGCACATATTCTGTACTTCTGGAGATTTTTGTAAATAAAGCCTTTTTGTTGATCAGTTATAAATCCATCCTACTGTAATTTATATGGCACTGAATGCCATCCTGTTAAGAAATAATGACTATAAAATGATTAGTCTTAAAATCAAAATTAAAGTTAGAAGTCCGTCAATGGCTTTAACTAGGAGAAGACTACTCATCTAAAATGCTGTTGATGTGGCAATGTATGGTGATGTATGTGGCATTTTAATGCCAAGACCAAGAAGAGAACATAAAAATTTATGCAAATGGGAAGATAGAGTTATTTTTTTTATTATTTAGTAATGAAATATTATTTGGGAATTATGGTAGTGTTGAATTGTATTGAATCTTATTGGTCTGAACCCATTTGCATCCGTTGCTTCTCACTATTTGAATCGATTATAGGAATGACTATATATATAAGTTCAACGATTGATTACATTGCTCATATTTTCTGCCTTTTGTGAACGCATATTTTCTAGCTTTAACTTATCTATGATCAAGATTAAAACCTCTCAGATTTGAATAAAAATGTGACTATGGACGTGAAAGCATCTTGTGCAAAACCAGAAACTTTGAGAAACTTAATTCTCTTTGATTCGTGGGATAGAGTAGCAGCCAATACATATAGGATTGGTAGTGACAACCCTACATGAACCCCAGATAAAAGGAATTCTATCAGCCAAATTATAGGAAACAAAATCTAAGATAGTCAGGGATGATAATAAAAGCAAATTATGGATAAAATAAATAGACACACTGAAAGAGCGAAAGTAGTTGATCAACATTCTAGACATGTGTGACACAAGTACGTCACACACCAACACCACTTGATGATGCATTTGTAAGTCCAGATTTCATGATATATTCCTTCAATATTATCCATACTAGCTTGTTTGCTTTTTACATGATGAAATTATTGATTATCTTTTACAATTTTTGCTTCCATCTCTTATATATTTGCCTATGAATACTTATATATGTGTATGTTGGCGACACTTTTTGCAGAATAGAACAGTTTCTGTTTTTGAAACCACCATTAGGGTGCTTGGAGGCTTACTTTCTGCTCATCTAATTGCCAGCGATTATGCTACGGTATCAGTTATATGCATCCATATATGTTTGTTCTCTTTTCTTGTATAATAAAGGAAATATCATTGGAGGTTTAGCTTCAGGTGACTAGATGGATTTCTTCATTTTATACTTGATTTATCACAAATTACTAGCATAGCATAGATAATCATGCATGTGTGTTTCTGTCTATCTTAACAAGAGTGTATGATCTGCTTGATTTAACTAAGCTATAGGTCTTTGTTTTTTTAGTGAAATGTGAAATAGGTCCTTGGAGACTACTTGAGCTTGTACAAGGCCTTATTTAGCTTGCACCCCTTATCCTTAATGTCATTAGTGCCAAAACCAGGAATGGATTTGTATTGAAACATCTTCATGATCCTCATTCAAGAAAGCATTTTTTTTTTTAATTCCATTGCCTGGTATCCTGTGAAACTTTGGAGTATTACCGCTACTCACCCAAACTAATCTGGACCCCTGCTATGTGGGACCATTCTTACTAATGGCAAGTTCATGGGTACCTTAGGAATGCCTTCAACATTTTTATTTATCATGGCTGCATATTCTAAGACTTGAACTTGAGACCCTAGGATAAGTTGATGCAACTCTCTTGACCAGTCGAACCTAGCACTATACTTCCCCTTGTTGAAGTTGCCAATCTAAATTTGCTGATGAGGGTTTTCCCAAATTTGATTGTGTTTAATGTAGCTATTGTTGCAAATACGAAGTCTTATCTTCATACCTTTTATGTTTTGCTTTTTTTATCATTTAGGAGTTTTATTCTGGTGAAACTTGTGTTTCTTCTTGTATGTTTACTGCTTTTATTCTCTAGGTGCTTACGGTGTAATCGTAGTGTTCCAATTTGGAGATATGATTGAATCATCTTCACATGCATTTGCCGCAGGGTATGAGAGTTCCATCATATGACAACCAGTTACTGAACTTAGCTGAAGATCTTGGCAGGAGGTTGTTACCTGCATTTGACACTCCTACAGGTATTGCTTCTCATTTTTTTAATAGAAAAAAATTATTAAAGTGAGTGAGAACATCAAGAAAGGAGGATAAGGCAACTCCTTAAAGAGAATACGACATAGAAATATAAAAGAAAGGAATACTTGATTTTAAACAAGGTTAAATCTCCCGTATTTATTGTATTAGATGGATGAAAACTTACTTGCCAATAGTTTTCATCATAGCTTTATAGATAACATTGTTTAGCTTTCCAGTCCATTACATGCCACCTTCTATCTCATGCAATGTTGTATTGCAGGAATTCCATTTGGTTCTGTAAATTTGTTACATGGAGTTGATAAACATGAAAGCAAGGTAAGGTTTTTTTCTATGCCTCATCCATTTGTCTTGTAATCTATATGTCCAAAATCTTTGCTACTCGCTGGTCTGATCAAGTTCCCAATAATTAAATTGTGTTTAACTTAGAAAAAGGGTGTAGAAAAAATAAAGTCAATCTTTTGTGGAGCACTGTTTAGTGCTAGAGTTTGATTGTAAGTTAAAACTTCTTTGTTTTCTACTTTCTTTAACATAGGTATTCTACTTTCTTTTGTGGAGGTACTAGAGTTTAAAATAATTACTTTTGTGCTTAGATTACTTCAACAGCTGGAGGAGGGACATTGACTCTTGAATTTGGAGTTCTGAGCCGATTGACAAATGATCCCAGTAAGTCTGCATTCTTCCTCTCTCTCAGATCATATTTGCCACTGAAGTAGTCTCTAGGAAGGACTTGAACGCAGAACTTAGTCGCAAAGTTGGAACTTGGTATTATTTTAGATATGACCTAGTATTCACTAGGAAAATATATTTATCAATGAGAAGTTGAGATCCATGAAATATCATGAATAATTGGTTAAAATATTTGTATCTCATTCTGCATACAAGGGCCTATCATTTCCTTGAAATATCATCAGTTGAGTAATTTATTTAGAATTAATCTTGATTCATAGACGTGGCAGTGTGCCATGTTATTGTCTTATAGTGCATTTGGATCCTATGAAATGCTCAAAATGTTGAGATATCTCAGTCCTGAGATTTTCAATAGAACAGGATAGTCTTTTCTACCATTTGTCTGGTGATGAGCTTATGATTTATTTCAAGGATACCCCGTGGAGAATCATCATTTAATTCCTTGATTTTAGATTGTCTTTTAATGTCATGAATTCTTCTATAGAGCAATTAGTTTAGTTATTGCAGTGTTAATCCACTTTTTATCAATCATTCATGTCCTAGGGTATCTAAATCTCAGCTATATGGGCCTTATTTATTTGCTATTTATTGAGATTGATGGGTAGTTATTGCTGACAATCACCAATATGCCTGTGCTTTGGATTAATGAAATTTGTGTTGAGGACTTGAGGTTCGACCTTATGTAAAATTCTATTGTCTTTTTCATAAAATTGGATTGGGTCATTGGGATTAAGGATTTCTTTTTGTATGCATGGTTTTGACTATTTTCATAGAGAGATTTTTGTTTTGACTATTTTCAATGTTTGCTTCACTTTTCCTCCATATGGTTTACCTCCATCTCCAAACTGGATACTTGACCGGATTCCAATTCAACTAGCTGAACCAGCCTGTCTGGTTGATTCTCAAATCATCGCTTTTATCATTAATTTCTATATCCTTTTGGGGAAGGGAAGGGTTGAGTTAATTCCTTACATTTATTCACATGTGCATTTATTGACTTGCAGTTTTTGAACGAGTGACTAAGAATGCAGTGCATGGACTTTGGGCACAGCGTTCAAGGCTTAATCTAGTTGGTGCTCATATTAATGTTTTTACTGGTGAATGGACCCAGAAGGTACTACATAAACTTCACTGGACAAAGATCATAAATTATTAATTTCAGGCAAATTATATTTATATACCACATCTCTGAAGCTCAGGTGATGATTGGGTTGTTTATCAGTTGCTTGATATTACCTTCCATCTTGTCATTGCTCTAGTGATAATTTTTTCTGCCTTAATAAACTCAGCCTTAGTGGCATTGATTATTCTTTCTATTAGTATCAGAAACTACAGCCATCTCTATGATTTTTGCAGGATGCTGGGATAGGAACTAGTATCGATTCTTTCTATGAGTACCTTTTAAAGGTCAGTGGCAGCAACTGGAATGATTATTTTTATTGTTCATTTCATGACAAAAGAAGAGACTTGGCAAAGAGAAGGAAAAGAACAAAAGAAGGATTACAATTTGGGGGACGATTTAAAAAAGGAGGGGGAAAAAGAAATGAGGAACGTTGTAAAAAATATTTTTAGCCCTTCAATCTCTGACAGTTCTTCAGAAACATTTGAACTATACGCATTTCTTCAATAACTTAATTGAAAGTTCAATATTGAAAGGATCCGTGAAGTTGATTTCTGTTTCCCATTAGTAATTTCGATGCATGGTAATTCACCATTCACCTAGTCACCATCTTGATTCCCCCTTTTTTTTGGGTAAAATCTTGATTCCCTTTAATAATTTGTAGCCTTGATGTGTTCAGATTTTTTGTCTAATAAAGTACTAATATCTTTTGTTTACATCATTGGTGCCTGGCTCATGGCTTTAGAATGGGTTTCACAATTAAACATCCAGGGATCATATAGCTCTTTTTCTGATGATGTTAATCTCTTCTTTTCATTTCTTTGTTTTCCTTTACCTTGGTTGTTATTGGCTGTTAGGAGGCAGGGTGGGAACTGGGAACCTTATCCTCTGATTCTGTGCTTTCTTCTTTAATGAATTAATCCTTCTATCCAAAAAATAAAAAATTTCTCCCTGTCAAGAGATAAACAAATGGAAGTAATTACTCAATGTTGGTTTCATTGTATGCATGAGAGAATATGTATTTATTAAAGCATATAAAATTAGTATACTTATTCTGCCAGTCTATTGGATCATATGAGCTGTACTTTGTTTGCTGATGTTTTTTACAGTACCAACTCATAAATATGTAAATATCTTTTTTAAGTTATCCTATAATTTCTTTTTTATCATTAGTCAGTCATATTCTCTAATTCTTCCTTCATGAATTTTCTCAGGCTTATTTATTATTTGGAGATGAGGAGTACTTGTATATATTTCAAGAAGCTTATGCTGCTGCCATGCATTATCTTTACAATGACCCTTGGTATTATTTGTGGCTTTACATGGCTCCCTGTAATTACGGTTGACTTGTCTCCTGTTATTCTTTGAAACTCTCATGTTTGTTTGTTATGCAACTTTCTAAGAATTCAGGCAAAAATAGGGAGAAATGGAAGACCAAATGACATAAATTGTCGCGAGACTCAATAATGGTGTGTACATAAATCAAAAGTATTCAACCATCAACTCAATCATTTAAGCCATTAATATTATTGTTAAAGACTTCCTCAGAATTTTAATAGCTCCTGGCATTTTTTATTTTTCAATATGATCACCATGATTGGTTCCTTCAACATTTCCCAACTACTCTGCTTGGCCACTTTGTCTGACATAGTTCCTAGTGAACTCTAAGTTCCCATGTTTAGCCCTTTCAACCACCCAGTCTTCACTGGTTGGGTTGCTCGTTAGTTCACCTGTATACACAGCTCCCATTCCATTGCCCAAGTCTTCAATAAAAATTCATAGGGTCTACACTCTACACTCTTCATGGTTCTTGGATTGATTGTGGCTATCTAGGCAACTAGGCTTTCCATGTCTAAAGGGATTTTTAGAAAGATCTTTGTTAGTACCTATCTCATTAATACCTCTTACATAACCCAAGTCTGAAACCTGGATCTTGGCTTATTTTTGCAGGTATGTAGAAGTGAATATGGATTCCGCTGCTATTGTCTGGCCATTATTTAATAGTTTGCAGGCATTCTGGCCTGGCCTTCAGGTTTTTCTTTATTAATTTCTAATACTATATAGTATAAACAATGTTAACACGAAAATACAAGGGTTAGTGAAACATGCTCATGTTCACAAGGTTTTAGCTGGAGACGTTGATCCTGCAATTCGTACCCATGCTGCCTTCTTTAGTGTATGGAGAAGATATGGTTTTACACCAGAGGGTTTTAATCTTGCGACCCTAAGTGTTCAGGTATATTTCATGCTACTACGTGATGGTCGATGTGGAAGTGTTCAGTGTTGACATGAATTTCCCTTTTTTTATCAATAGTAGCATTCTTGTACATTGGTGAGCTGCTTCCAAATCAGTTGGTGGTAAATAAACTTCTATGCTGAATTTGTGATACCTATCCATGATCTACTAAATAAGCTTGATACCAATACTTCTTGGCATCTGGGTTAAATTTTTTATGGATTTAATCAGTTGGATTTGTCAAAGTGATGTCGCAATCCAAATATATGGTCGCGTGATTCTGTGAATGGTTTTGATATTTTAGTCTGTTTGATATTGATTGACACATAGTGGGCCAAGGCTGACTGAATTGAGCATTTAAGGTGTATGTGTAAACAACACTGAATGTGAGTTGGTCTTGGTCTGATAGCTAAGGGGTCCTTCATTTAAACCTTACTCCCCAATATATACTCATCCAGCACAACCATCTGAGTTATACTTAATGGGTCCATCTGATATACTGTCTTTTAATCTATTGACTCCTTGATGTTAATAACCCTTTATCACCATACATAGCCTGAGAGGCTTGCATCTTCCTGGCAATAGAGAATTGTCATTCTTTTGTGTGTGAAATAGAAAAGCATTTCAGAAATTTCTTACAATACTTATTAATTGTTCTTTTTTATCCCCTTATTTTCAGCATGGACAGAAAAGCTATCCTTTGAGGCCAGAGTTAATAGAGAGCACATATTGGCTGTACAAAGCTACCAGAGATCCCAGGTATTCTCATAACTGCTTTTAGTTTGTAATTTCTTAATTTTCTTTTCTGGTAAACACTTTTAGTTTTTAGTTTAATGATGACATTTGAGCTTTTCCTTTCTCTATAAATGTATTCTTGTTAGAGCAAGTGGTTCTGTTATTGGTTCCATACTATTCTCTACAATCATTTCTGATCATTCAGAAAAATAAAAATTATGAAGAATGAGAACCTTGCAGCCACTCTTCATGTTGCTTTGTGCATAACAAAATGCAGATTTTATTAGAATGGATTATTGACAATAAAGTGACTACTGTAAATTAATTTGTGTTCTGTGAAAAGTAAAATTTGTCATCTTTTTACATTTGAAGTCGTATAATTTATTAAAATTTTTGGCCAAGATTGATGAGCTGGACGTAGATTTTTATTGGTGGGGGGGGGGAACAGGGATGATGAAAGTTTTGAATAGTAGCAAAACTGTCAATATTACTTCCTATGTCTTTGATAATAGACTTTCACCTGGCAAATGTGATGCAATAGACACCTTTTAGCTCACATTGAATGAGTGTCATTGTCCAATACTTAGTGCTAGTATCTGGAGAACAATAAATGGATGATGGTAAGATTTAATGGTTATCCATTTAGTGGGTTGTGTTACTATGCAGATTTCCAAGGTATTGACAGCCTGGGTGATTTTTGTTGATCCCTGGTTATTCATTAGTTGATGCTGATGAGCTTGTTTTCATTTTAATTCTTAACCGTCTTTCCATTTTGGAAGAAATTAAAAGTCAATAATCGGATTTTCCACTGTATTTCATTGGATTTTTTTGTTTTCATTCCTCTTTGCTTCCAGATGATGTATTGTCATCCATCTTGTAATTTTTTTTCCCTTCTTATTCATAAATCTTGTAATTTTGCTATGAAGAAGCAGGATTTACTTATTCTACTTCAACTTATATGAACTATTTGTTGATAACATTGGCTGCAATTTTACTTTATTCATATAAATTTAATTATTGTCTGTGTATCTTTGAAGATATCTTAATGCTGGGCGGGACATAGTTGCTAGTTTACAGTATGGGGCTCGATGCCCTTGTGGATATTGTCACATTTCGGATGTTGAGTCTCACCATCAGGAAGATCACATGGAGAGCTTTTTCCTAGCTGAGACGGTAAGAATCAACTCTAGATGAGTTTATGTATCTCTCCTTTTAGTTATGTTTCATTGATGATGGTTACCAGAATAGGTACATTGATCTTTAGTTTGGGTTCGAATTAATGTCTCTACTAGGATTTAAAATCTCACAGAATTTATGTGGTGCTGTGCGAGTCAGATGGAGAGATCACTTGTTTTATTTTGAAAGTGTTTTGCAACAAAATTTCTTGACTGAAAGGGGCCAGCATGTGTAGCATTGGCTCTAGCTTTGGAATCTTAACCATTCAAGAAAACAAAATAATTACTTGTAATTGCCTGGCCTTCAGCATCTGTCATTATATTGCAGAATTATCATTTTTTTCTCTTCCTTGATATCATCTTTTATCAAAGTATATTCTTTGTCCCAAACATTTCACTAGTCGTCTAGGTTTTCACATTTTTCTGCTATATTTTTGGAGGGACATGCTGATATGATCTTATTACAATTAGGTCAAGTATCTGTGGCTTCTATTTGATTTGGCTGTGGGTCCCGATAACATTGTGGAAAATGGGCCATACAAGTAAGTGCACTAATTCATTTATCAGGATTGGCTGGCAGATTTATATTTTCAATAAAACTGAGTTGCGTGTTTTCTCTGTTGTGCTTTGGAACAGGTACATTTTCAGCACTGAAGGCCATTTACTGCCAGCTACTCCTCAAATATCTCTTGTCAAGGAACATTGTTTATATTATGGGTCATATTGTAGAATGAATGATGTAAGACAAAGACCTTTTACTTCAGAGATTGAAAATGATCTACAAGAATCCAATGATAGTACAATCCATGGAAGCGGGACTCATGCTGAGTATATGTCAGATTATAAACCAACTTCTATTTCAGGTTTGATCAAGGTGAGTGCTTGGTACTTTTTCCTACCATCCCTGTAGAATTCTTCCTTTCTCCTTTGTGCTATATTCAGGGTACATTCACTGAATATTACTGCGTTTAACTTTTAATGCATAATTTCTTCCTTTTTTCATTAAGTAATTGAAATTCAGAAATCAAGTCACCTACCTTGGATTTGGCTTCTGCTGCAAAATTTCCTTTTATACTGATTCCGCATATTATGAGACGGTTGAAACAGTTAGGTAGTGCTAGAATCAGTCACTCGTTTCTCTCTGGATTCTGAAAATAAAGAATCAATGTGATGTTTTGGACGCTTTAAGTGGCATATTATTAACAAGACAAAAATACCCCCTCCGGACCACAATATTAAACATTTTCTAGAAACCTACTTGGTCCAAAATATAAGATATTGGATAGGTTTTATATATATTTTTCCAATTATACTCTCAATTTACTATATTCCACTCAAGTAATTAATGATGTTTTGAATAAGTCAACTATTATATTTATTCTACTATGTGGCCTGAAAAATAATTATTTTACTCAAGGGTATGAGTGAAAAAATGTAAAATTTTTTTGCTAACTTTTTAAAAAACATAAATTAGTTAATAATGATTTATTTTATAGTTCGAAGGGAGTATTTTATATTTTACAAAGACTAGTCAGACAACTGTTTGCATTGCTTGATAATGCAAAATTTAACCAGGTTTTACTTCTTCCACACTCCTAGCCTTCCAAAATGAAGGAAAGTAAATATTTTTACCCTGCTTTTATAAGCCTCATATTCGTGTCTTCCTTTATCATTATCCCTGGATTTTATTCACATAAATATAATGTGCTAGTATTTGGACTTCGTCATATCATCATCATCATCATTCCTTCCTACTCTAGCATGTCCCTTTTTCTCATAACCATCTCCTTGCTTCTACGGTGTAAAGTGATATAAACATTAGCTGACAATCAACCACCCACACATGCAGAAAAGGGATGTTTTGAAACTTTGTTGTATTTTTGGATTTTTCACTGCATTTTGGATCAGTTCTTCAATGTTACCTGCAGGGTCTTTGCCCAGGATTAACTCATGGGCAGAAGTTTGGTATATCATATGTGCATCCACCTGATCCGCCTCGTGATTATGAGACCGTGACCGTTCAACAGAAAGAACCGACCGTTGTACAAAGCCATGCGGTATTGGTCATTCCAAGCCAAAGTCCCAAACCGGACCATAACAGTGACCAGAATGATAATCAGACTCATGAATCTGATGAGTCTACCTGAAGTGTTAGGAGGGGGACTTCTGGTTCTGGTAGAACTCAATTTGATAGACCCCATGCAGCATGAAAGATCGTGTATGATCTTGGGCTAAGGAAGTGGATCATCAAGGGTGAAGAATATTTGTGCCTGTGAAACTCTGGGATTGCTACCTGAAACAGATCTTTCATTTTCATTATTTTGTTCATAAAGCCAAAAGCCTGATTTTGATCATTCTGGCAAATTTTTTGATACCGTGGGCATGAATGAAGCTAGAGGCCTGAATTATGGATGAACTGGTCTGTTAGATGCGCCTTCTCAGACTGTTGCCAGAGGCTGAGACATAATTTTTGCCTTGTGAGTTACGATCTGCACTGGGCTCGTGTAACAGAATTTGTAATTTTAAATTTGTTTTTGTTGTGTCATTATTTCCAACACATTTCTGTAACCTGTTGTAGAAATCTCATTTGTCTAAAGATGATAGGCATTGTTGTCAGATACTCGAAGGTGGACCACAGTTTCAAATGGTAATGTAGCGAGCCATTCTCTTATTTTGTCCATTTTGTTGACTTTCATGAGTCCTAGACCCAGAATTTGTTGCTGTTTCTCATTCACCACCTTTGAAAATTTGTGAAGTTTGACGCAACTGCAAAGTATCAGAGGGACTTAGATCTTTTTTATGTTGAAAGTTGGGAGCTTTCGTGGATGATTGGAACGCCGTTTTGTTTTTTTTTAATTAGAGGGGCAAGTACTAAGGGTCTAAAGTTATGAACAGGATAACTTGTTATTTACACCACAGCTTATATGTCATTAGGTTATAAGGTTATTGGCTAGGATGCTAATTTCAAGAATTAGTTTTTAGTATGTGATTTTCTAGATGGTTTTTTTTTTTGGAGAAAAAAAAATAATATTAAAGTAAAAAGATTAAAATGCCATGAAAACAATCAAGGTGAAAAATCAAAATGCAAAGAGAGATAATTTTCATCTTGATCCCTGATATCAAAATGAAGGAAGTAATTAAGCAAGGTGATTTCCAATGTTACATGATTTTGGTTCTTATAAAGTTAATTATTGGTAACAAACTTCTTGTTATTGTACTTGAGCCTGTGAGATTGAAGGGAGATGATAATTTTTTGTGAAAATTGAAAATCCATCATAAAACTGGACAAAAACACGAGATTAAGGTACAAGGTTGTAATCAATGGTATCATTATCTTCTTTCTTTCACACTCACGCACATTACACTTTGTTCATATGGATGCATGCTTATTAAGTAGAGTCGATAATTTAAGCAAGCCACACCTATTTGAATTAAGTTTTATTTAGATTGAATTTAAACTAGCCTACCACATGAAAAAATTTCATATAACCAAATCCAATTCCAATTCCTTGGGCTTTCAGGGTGGCTTAAATACTTGAATTATTAAATTTTTTATTTTTTTATTAAATTTCAATTTTTCTTTTAAAAAAATTAATGTTTTCAATTGTATATTTTTTATTAATAATAAAAAAAAATTTTGAATATTAGAGCTAACTCATTTGGGTTCGGGCTTGGCCTAGATTTTTTCATGTTTATTTGAGCGACCCAAATAAATTTGGAGTAAATGAAGTTTTTTAAACTTTTAAATTCGACTCTAAAATTTTTCAAGCTTATTCGAGCTTTATCCAAATTAATGCTTCTAATATTAAGTCTCTGCTATTTCAAAGTGCCTTCGTGCTACTAGGTTAATAGGACATCGGCATTATTACCTTAATTTTAATCAAATTATCTTGTAACTAATTTAAATTTAAGTACTCAGATTTGAAAACATATAATTTTATTTATTGATGTAAGTATTTGGAGCATGAAGTGTGAATTTTTGACATGCTCAAGAGATAACAAATTCTTATTATTTGACCTAATTATAGTTGACGGTTTAATTTTAGGAGAATGGCAAGTGGATTTGTTGTGCAAAATAATTAATACTGTAGTTTCTTGAGCACATTATTTGACATCCAAAATAGATTATATTTATTAAAAGTAAGAATATAAGGCTGGGTTAGGCTAGCTCATTTTTATATTAATTGAAGACATCTCATCTCAATACAAACCAACTTGTGTGGATTGGCAGGTTACCTCCCAATTTATTTCAATAATTTTCAGCACTTAAAATTTAACCCATATAACTCATATTACATGATAACGTGATTTAATCTAAATTATTTCCTAAAAACATAACATAATTTACCACTAATGTAAGGACTTGTATTAATAACATCATTTTCCAAATGTAAAAGACAAAATACATTAATATAACATGTTTATTACCCATGATCCATCACAAAAACATATAGATCTTTGACTTTAAGTTTATGTGTGAGACAGATCTAACCTATAATATACGTGCACCCAGACATGCATGCAAGTTTATACACATATACATCTTCCGATCTAGAATATAAGTAACGTTCAAATATAATCTGCATACTAATAAAATTTAATTATATCTCTATTTTCATGAAAATATCTTATAGTTTTCCCTTTTTATCATTTGCTCTAACTACTAATGATGAATTAAATTAGAAAGGAATTGAGAATGATGAGTAAATATAAAAAATAAGGTTAATAAATATAATAGGTAAAATAAGAAAATTAATTTCTACAAACATTAAGTTACTTATATTTTATATTCTTATTAGTTGGAAAAAAAATAACTTATATTTTAGATTAAAAAGAGTATATATTAAGTAGGTCAAGTTTTAATCCAAATTGATTGACCCATTTAACCTAATATCTTGTGTTAAAAGGTTTTTTTTTTTAATTTAGGTTGCAGAATGGGTTTTTCAAGTCAAACTCTACTTTTCAAGTCGAACTCAACTTATATTAAAAAAATTTTTAAAAAAGAATTAAATTACAAATAATTCTCTTATTAATAAAAAGATAAAAAAATAAATTAACTTTTAAATTATAGTTTCAAAAGCGTTTAAAATTTTAAATTTATTTTTGTATAATTTTTTTAACTTTTAAAAATAATCAATTCAACTTTTATCACTAATAAAAATTTATTTTAATTATTAGTTGATTAAAAAATTAAAAAAATTAAAAATTACAAAAAAACCCAACAATTATAGATAAAAAAATTACATAAAAAGATTAAAAATTTGTCATTTGCCATAATTTTTCAAACCTTTTTTAATTATTTTTAATCAATTAAAATTTAAAATTAATTTTTATTGACAACAAGAGTCAAATTATATTATTTTAAAAATTAAAAAAAATATTGTAGAAAACTTTTTACACTTCGAATTTATTCATTTACTCAAATGACCCCACATTTATAGCTATTTATTTCATGATTATGACAAGCACGGGGTGTACAGTGAGTTAGTACTAATGCTGTCAACGTACATGCACAGAGCATATTTTTTACAGCGGCTAGTTTACTGACGATCTCTGCTATCAACGTATCACTTTATGCAATTTGTCCATTTCTTTGAAGACATTGTTAGATTTGATGAATATCACATTCACAGCCTGAAGTTAAGAGAATCAAAGTTAGATTCTAAAAATTGATTCAATAATACTCAAGTTTTTTATATATGTTTTTGGATTAAAGGAAAATTTCAATGTTTAAAATGTTAAATTTATTTTTTATATAATATTTTTATTTAACTTTTAAAAAATAATATAATGATACTCCTATTACTAATAAAAATTAATTGTGGATCGACTGGCATGATGACATCCTTGTGATGCTTACCTCGCGGATTTAAGCCATGCCTGCAAATGTTTTGACCTTTGCCATTTGCAAACTCAAATATTAAAAAAAATAAGTTGACCATTAATTGATAAAAAAATTATAAAAAATGATCTAAAAAATATAGAAAAGAACCTAAAATTACATATAATGAGCCAAAAAATCACTGAAAATGATCAAGTCAATCATAATATTCGATGTCATTTTTTATAATTCGTGTACTGTATTCAAAAGTTAGAAAAAATATTATATTAAAAATAAGTTTTGTATTCCAATGCTTTTGCACTAATAGTTTAGAGATAAATTTACCAGTTAACTTTATATTTAAAAAAAACAATGAGTTGTAGAAGTTAAATTTTTACTGTCTTTTTTTCTTTCTTTACCAATAGAAAAATTGTATGGGTACTGTTTCTCTCTGTTGGTTAATCTATTTTGTAATTAATTCTATTTTTAAAATATATTAAAATAATCATGAGTAGTTTGAAAGAAAAGGAATTCCCTAGATATTATTTTGACTAACTTAATTGATACTATTTTCATTAAAAAATGTAATATATTTTTAATCTTTCGAGATGTAATCATTGTCTTTTTTAAAAAAATACCCGTATTGATAATGACTTTATATTTATTGTAGAGTGTTTAATAGGGATAAATATAAAAAGATGAGGTTAGTTTGAAAGTAGCTAACAACTTTATTGAGGGGTGAAATTTGATTAAAAATTCTTTACATTTTTTAACAAAATGAGTATAAATTTTATAATTTTTCTTAAAAACTATATCTGTCTAGTATTGTTCTTTCCTTTTAAAAAAAGACTATATCTAGTAGTGGTAATTCAAATTTAATTGTGCACTAACCTCAAACTCAAAGAGAATATAGTTCTTCCGTATATATAGTTTCTAAATCAACAACATTTTCAAATTCAAGATTCTGATCGAAGTATAAATTTGGACCATCTAATAACTTGAATGGATTTTTAGAATTAAATGGAAACGAGTCATTTTGTTGTAAGGCAAAAAAATTAAAAATAAAATAAACAACTGGGAATCTTAGGAAAGCTGTGAAGGTGATAAGAACTTGCTTCCAACATAAGTCTGCTGCTTCAATGTCTGTGTCTTTGGTTTTTTGGTCTGTGAATGTGAAAGGGGTCATGTGGTTCTTTTGCAGGGTACACATGTTGTTTTGTCCACACCATCTCTGTTTTTATCAATTATTATATTATGTTTTATATTTTTCTGTAAGTTAGTTAGGTTTTTAATAAATTTTAAAAAATTTGTAAATATTATTAATTCAAACAAGTGTAAATTTGAAAATATTAGTTATAGATAATATTTTTAATTTCAAATGTAAGTCTTAGTTTGTGATTGGAATTTTTATTTATGACTATATAAATTAATATTTGCAACTCATTTTTTTAAAAAAATTTGAGACCTTATTATTATTAATTCATTTTTTAAGACTTAATTGTTATTCTCCCAATTTTTTTAACTCTTTATTACTCCTCCGATCTTCTTTCTAAGTTATTTCTACTAACCTCATCAATATCAATATAAAAAAAAATAAAAGAATAAAGTATGTAAAATTTCAAATATGTCCATATATAACAAATTCATAAAGTAATATTATATTATTTTTTCTCTCTAAGGTAACTTTAAAATACTTTTTAAATATTATTTAAAAAGTCACATCGTGACTTATAAATAAAATCAAATAAATTTTATAGAATATGTCTTATAAATGAGACTAGAGGAAGTATGATGTAATGAATTAGAACTCTTCACACAGCACACATACATTATTTACATAACATATTCAA